TTTTTTAGAACGAGCTCGTGCTGAACCAGTGGTTCTACCCATGGAAAATGTCACTGTTAATAGAGGAGAAAATGCCAGCTTAACGTGCAAAGCATTAAGTGATTCCATGCATCATTTCCAGTGGTTAATGTGGTTTCCCATGCATACCAACGGTTCGGTCAACAGTTCACCAGACGGTTCTATGGAAACTCCACACTACGAAATCTTGAATGGAGACTTAACAGACCAACATGTAATTGTGCCACCAAGTAACGGCAATATATTTGATTTCCACGGTGTGAAGTTGAATTTCCTGAAAGTCACAAAGAAGGAAGAAGGAAAGTACTCTTGCATTGTGGGAAATGCTGTTGGTTACGCAGTCGAACATGCCTACATCATTGTCCAAAACATCGGCGGGTGAAGCCATATTTAGATTACCAATTCTTAATAATTTTTGTTATCATTGATTTTGCTATTATCAGAGTCTTAGGAGCTTCCTGCGATGTGCCATAGTAGTCTTTTACCTAGCATATTTTGAAGTCAATGAGAACTTCTGGTTCTACCAGTAATTATGTTATCCAATAAAATCATTATCTTATCTTATCTATAACTGAACAGACGCTCGGCAACATGGAATGTATTTGTAACTCTATTTGGTGTGATTCCTTGTCCATGAATCCTTGGTAAACAGCTTTCTTTTCTTGAGTCTTCTTTGCTTCGGGAGTCACGAAGGGTCGATGTTTGCTTAACTACGTGCTGAGTTTGGTTGAATGAAAAGCTAGCGACACCAAGTGGCCTGTGCAGGTCTACAGACTAGATAACAAAATGAATTGATATTTAGTGTGAATTTCACCTCTGTTAATTGCGCGCCCCTTTGGAAGGTATGGGTCAGTCACAAATCAATGTGAACGCTCTGGTGCGCATGCTTGCATGTATGTGTTTTTTGTATAACAGCTCCGAGGATTCATTCAAAACCACATGAAAACATTGTGTCATAGCTATAACATTTTTCGCACTGCTTTTCAAATTATTTTCACGTGTGGAAACAGTATAGAGATTTTTTCTAGAACGGATCGCGCAGATATGCGTGTAGGTATTTTAAGACTTCCGCCTCGTATTGTGGCCTATTGTTAGTGATTGATAATATGTACAATACACGACTCTGATCGATGAATATTATGCAGGGAGCTTTTCTTATTGTGAGAAAATAAATTTGTGTCATCTTGTTTTCGGGTTCTGTCCTGGTGTACCGGTTCACAAGGGAATTACCACTGTTCTTTCTTTGTTTAGGAGTCATTGGTTGGCTGTTGTGTATTGTTCGGTCTTTTGTATCGGCTCTTGTGAACCGGTACACGAGGACAGAACCTGTTTTCGTGACTCTGGCGAACCCTTCAGTATCAAAAGGAAGTTGTGTCTTGCCTTGAGAGGTATTTTGTGGTCCTTACGTTTCTGTACTTTAAGCCTGAGAAATATCAGTTATCTGGCGTTTCCTTCTGGCGCTTTGGTGTTCTCAGCATCGGAAACTTGTTTTGCTGCGCCGAAGTATTAGTCCCGGTTTGACACGCTCTCCCTGCGGACTGATTCAGTGTCAAACTTGACTGACCCTGTTACCTGGTTGTTACCCATTTTTTGGTATGTTTTTTCTTGATTGTATGTCACATTAATGGAAAAAAGATTTAATTTCAACTGCAGAATATGTCACCTGTAGCCTGCAGAAACTCTAAGACTTATATTGCTGTACGAAGGATGAGAGCCGAAATACTGTATGCTTTAAAAAGAACGTTCTCCGTGTGTTCAGAGAAACAGGTCACACATGTGCATTTTAAACTCCATCTTTTGAGATTTAACATTGGTCACTGAGAGAAGATACAAATATCAATATTTTACTCGCACCAAAATAGTCTTTTGTACAAAACCCCACGCCGACTTTAAAGACAGATCATCCCATTACGCCACAAGTTAGGAATTATATTTGCTAATTCGCTTTTTTTCTTCGAGATGTATCGTGAACATTCAGTAAATAGGAGAGAGTTATTAGGTCCTTGTCCACGACTGACTGTCTGCCAAGTTTTTATTTTGATGTAAACTCGCATCGGTTTTGAACATGATATAAATATGTGTGTGATCTGGCAATTGACTTTCAAGTATTTACATTATGTTTGCCCCGAGGGTCTTGGTCATCAGCCAAAGTCTGAATCCAACGGAAGTTTGACTTCCGTTGGCTGCTGTAGAATCCTGCGCAAAGTTATCTTGTTTCTCCATGAACAACAGGTAAGAAAATTAATAGAATTTTCTTTCTTTGTAATCTTGCCCCAAATTCTGCTCTGTCAGTAGATTGGTTTTCTAAAATCTTCGACGGTCAATGACCTCTTTTTCTTTCGCGGTCTTAACGGGCTCTAGACGAGAGTACAACTGAAGCAATTCGCCGGAGTGGAATCAGCCAAAGGAGGTTATCATTTCATCGCCATGTTGCTCACTTCGCCTCCGTTGAAAACGATTCTTGTTGCTTTCCTAAGTTTTCTGGATAATCATCACACAGATGCATGTTCAGGTTGGTGTGAATCCGCGATAAACCTTTTCTGTTGTCAGGAGTAAGTTTATGTTGTTATGTGTTGTTACGCGAACGGCTTACTGTATTTTGCGAAACGAAACGAAATGAAACGAAACGAGTAAATCCGTACTGTATTTTGCGAAACCAGCTCTTCGAAGACTCTAGCGATATATAACTTATTTCTTCCGATTCGTAAACACAATTCGTGGATACAACTCGATGCAGTGATGATTTATAAATAAAGACTTTGAGCCAAAAGGTCAGAAGTGCGCCGTTTCGCAAATTACAGATATGTAAATCTGTAATTTGCGAAACGAGCTCTTTGAAGACTCTAATGATATGTAACTTATTTCTTCCGATTCTATAACACTTTTCGTAGATACAACTCGATGCAGTGATGATTTTTTAATAAAGAGTTTGAGCAAAAAGGCCAGAAGTGCGCCGTTTCGCAAATTACAGATATGTAAATCTGTAATTTGCGAAACGAGCTCTTTGAAGACTCTAATGATATGTAACTTATTTCTTCCGATTCTATAACACTTTTCGTAGATACAACTCGATGCAGTGATGATTTTTTAATAAAGAGTTTGAGCAAAAAGGCCAGAAGTGCGCCGTTTCGCAAATTACAGATATGTAAATCTGTAATTTGCGAAACGAGCTCTTTGAAGACTCTAATGATATGTAACTTATTTCTTCCGATTCTATAACACTTTTCGTAGATACAACTCGATGCAGTGATGATTTTTTAATAAAGAGTTTGAGCAAAAAGGCCNTAGACCTTCAGTAAAACGGTCTGACCAAGATATTCCGCCTTATTCACAAAAAAAAAAAAGACAAAAAAAAAAGAAACGGAAGAGCCGATTACTCACTTCTAGAGAGAAGACTGAGTGGAAAACAAAGCAAAAAATTTATCATTGTACACCAACTGACCCAAAAGAAAAACAACGAAAAAAACCCGAAAAAAGTCACACAATGCTGATTGCTGTTTAATATGCGACTTCACAACTTATGTTCTGAAATGTGATAACCTGTAGTCAGTGTACAACTATGATAGCATTGGCGATGGAAAGTGGTACAGTCAGCTGAGATGCGCCAGAGCTCTACGTCATAACAGTTACTTCATTTTCTGCCCCAGGGTAATTTTAGGGGATTACACGAGAAAAAGGTATTTCCATCGGTTTCCCAGTATTTGTTTCCGCGTTTACTTGCCTAATGAGTTAGCCGTTAGTAAAAACAAATTGATTAGTAATTTTGATAGGATTACCGATACCACTTCCCAGCGGTAATGGCATCCGACCCGGGTAAACTTTACAGAAAACAACATCGCTAACGGGGTTTAGAATTCTCTAAAGAGTCGGGGTTGTTAGAGGCTAGATCCGAAACTCTCAATTAGACCCTCAATAAAACGGTCCGCCCAACATATTCCGCCTTATTCACAAAAAAAAGACAAAAAAGAAACGAAAGAGTCGATTACCTACTTCTATAGAGAAGGCTGAGAGGAAAACAAAGCAAAAAATTTATCACTGTTTACCAGCTGACCCAAAAGGAACTCGTGGAGATACGCTTCATTGTGATTTATAATCTAACGAAGAGCAAATATAATAATTTCATTTCATTTAAGAAGTAAACTAGTTCCAGCCCGTGAAATAAGCTCAACTAAATTATATTGTTTGGTACCAAGAGGAAATGAGAGGAAGTCCTGTCCCCTAAATTGCTCTTGTTGGTAAGCCTCTCCCTCTGAAATCTCGATCTCCTCTTGATGTGTGGTATTTCCAAAGAGGCGTGTATGGATAAAATCGAAAACATTTCTAATAGCCCTTCAATTGCCAAGAAAAGCCATACCTCTCGTTGAAATTTTAAACTTAACTAAATTACTTTATAATCTTTTTAATTATCTACTGTAAATAACTATTATCTATATATGTAAATGTATTTCACTTTTAAATTTTTTAGTGTCCCTCATTAGCTTATAGTTAAAAACATAGACACTTAAATAAAGGTTTCCATTCATTCATTCATTCACCTTGTAATAACTGGATTGACTTCATCCTCTTAGACCTCACTGAAAATGCAACAGCAAGTATGACAAATGATTGGCTACATGATGATATTCGTCATCGAACAGGGAATCCGAAAGCAAATCCTTTCCTTTTCTTTTTTTTAATACCTTAATCTAGCTGCAAGATTGAATGAAAAGATCACAGTTGCTCCAATATTCACGGTGTCGCAAGGCAAGATGAGACGCAACCTTCTTGCGGTACCTGTTGGCAACTCTGTAAAGCTAGATTGTTCTGCCGATGGACACCCTCCTCCTACAGTAGAATGGTACAAAGACGGAAAATTGTTTAAGGAAAGGAAAGGTGGTAGAAAACTCTATTTGAGTCAATGGACAACC